CCCCCAGGTCCCTCAGCTGCTCCTCACAATCATGTTCCCCAGAGCCCTCCCCAGCTCTGCTGCCCCTCTCTGGTCCCACTCCAGCCCCTCAAGGTCTTTCTTATCCTGTGGTGCCCAAACCTGACCCCAGTGCTCAAGCTGTGGCCTGAGGGGATCTCTAGCAAATAGAATTTTCAGCAGTGACCACCAACTGCCACAGAACATCTTTTTTTGTCCCTTAATCTTGTTCTCAGAAAGGAGTGAGCTGCTTTAACTGAGTCTCAGTCCCAGAAGCCTTAACCTTGAGGCTTTCTCTCCAGCAGGAGCTTGTTGCCAAAGTGCTAAATCTCAATACCAGGTAGCTGAGCAGTGAGCAGCTGAGGTGAAGACAGACTGTCCTCTCCCAGACAGGCTGCAAAGCCCTGTGAACTTCAGCAGTGATCAAATTCCTGGTCATAGGACCTTCCCAGGCCACTGCCCAGCCATCCTGAGGGTCTCCCTGGGAGATGGAAACCTGCACAGGCCTCTGAAGTCTGCCAGATCTTCTGAAATTATCACAGGGTCTTTATTCAGGTCACCTTCTTCCAGCTCCCTGAGGCTGCTGCTGTCTTCACTTGCTTCAGAGGTGGCTTTTCTTTCCCTGGATGTCTTTATTTCTTTATTTTCCTCTCCAGGAACTCTTTCATCAGCTTTATCTATCTCATAGAGCTGTTCTGGTTGGAAGAGACCCTTCAGGTCATCAAATCCAACCATCCCCCAGCACTGCCAGGTCCCCACTGCCCCGTGTCCCTCACCCCACATCTCCACAGCTTGGAAACCCCTCCAGGGGTGGGGACTCCACCACTGCCCTGGGCAGTCTGGCACAGCCCTGGGCAACCCTCCAGGGCAAGAAATTGTTCCTAATGTCCAACTTGTATAATCTCCAGGGGAGATTTTTATTAAATAAGCTTTTTTTTTTAAAATATAAATATAGCACCCCCTGTATTTTCTAGCAGAATGTGGTTTTTAGTGGAAATACCAGTAAGATGTTGGGTTTGTTTTTAAGTTTCTAGCTTGCTGTGGTTTTTCCTGTTGAGCTGAGTTGCAGGAATAGAGCAAGACTCTTGTTTGGTTATTCCATCAGAAGTGCTCCCCACAATGAGCATTCAACACACCTTGAAAAAGCCAAAAGTCTGTGATCTGATCTTCTGGATGGCTTGGGGTGAAGTGAATGGGCCAGGAGATGATTCCTCCTTCAGGATGGAAATTGGAGCAGACTTGGGACTGCTCAGGGTGGCTGTGGGAAGTGCTGATGATTTCTTCTGAAGAATAAGAGGACAGCAAACAGTGCAACCTTCATTTTTTGTTTGGAGGATGGAAGGAGGTTAAAGTGTCCTGTCCAGAGAAGAGTTACTGGGCTCTAGCACCCTCCTATATAGGCCTTGCTTTAGAGTCATTATCAAAACCTGAGAATTTAAACATATATAAATCCTTTCTGTAGGAATAAACCTATTCTCAAGCTTTATTTGAATTCCTTTTCCCTCCTTCCTCTTATTCCCACCTCCCACAAAGACCCAGTTGGTGAGTTAGTGTTCCTGTGCTGTCCTGCCTCAAAGGCTATTTGTACCATTAATAGGTACCAAGATGCTTAAAGAACTGACCCTGCTGCAGCAGCAGACTCAGACTCCTGGGTTTTGTGCTTTAAAGAAAATATCCTTACACTGCAGTGTGGTTGAGCACCCCAGGAATATCTCACTACACTGCAGTGTGGTTGAACACCCCAGGAAAAGAGTTTGGGATTTGCTAACACCCCATGGTCTTAAATTTATACCTCCCCTCTAGTTCTTCCCCCATCTTTCAGTGAATTAATTGCTGTCTAAAGTCTGATTTGCCAAAAGTTGACTGCAGCCCCACCCCTCCTGTGTTTCCTTCCCATGCTGCAGCACAAGTGGAGGTGTTATCTGCTGCACTTCGAGCATCCACTCTGGATCCCCCAGAAGAAACCACAGCCAGCCTGGGCAAGGGGACAACAGACTCTCAGACTGAACTCACCAGCAGCAACCAGCAGAGCTTCCAGCCTATACTGGGTGACATTGTGCCTTTAATTGGTGACACTGTTGAGGTAAGAAAGGAGGGGGTTGTGCTCCAGTTTTATTTCCTCATTAGGATTTCCAGAGCTCTTCACTCAGCAATTGCAGCCAAGGGCTTCCCACTTTTGGCATTCAGATTGATTGGCCACTGTTGAAGCACCAGGCATTAAAATGAAACAAGTTGTGTTGGGTGCCTTTTGTTTTTGCCAGTTCTCTTCTTGTCCTTGTAAATGGTTGAGAATGTTTGAGAATGTTCCCCTTTAAAAAAATCTCTGTTGTGACATTTTTAAGAGGTTTTCATGCTACTGTGGTTGATTACTGTGAAATTGCCTTCATTAAAACACAGCCCTGCTGATAATAAGTGAATCCCCTTCTCCAGGGCCCTCTCCAGTCTGGAGAAAAAGGAGCTTTGTTCCCTGTGCTCCCTGCTGAAAGGTTTTGCTGTGGTTTATTGGCCTGCAGGAGAAGGTCAGGACCTGCAATGTAGGATGTTGTGTGGATTACTGGAAGAGAAGGTGGCTTCTAGCAATCAGCAAAGCTTTTTCTGCACTTCAGCACCTCACCACTGCCTCCTGCCTAACTGAAATCTGTGGCATTTGTTTGGTTTGGGGTTTTTTTTCTGTACTGTGAGGCCAGACCCACTGTGGTCCCTGGAGATAGTGCCACAGACTGGTGGCATGAAAAGCTGTAGCTGTGTGGAAAAAACACACCTCAGAAACCCACAGTGAGTGAATTGTGTTGCCTAAATGGCCTTTTCAGATGAAATTTTCATAAATGGCTTTGAAAAGTCTAGGAGTTGACCTCTCTGCAAACACTTTCTACCTTTCTTAATGAGAGCAGCATTTCTAGATGGCATTTAATTAACTCCTCAGCTAAGCTGTTGGACTGCCACATAGCCCAAAACCTGTGTGGGGAGTGGAGGAGTGTGACATTGACTTGGCTGCTGCTGTTTGTACACAACCATAATTCAACACTACAAATGTGGTTGGTTTGGGCATGTTTCATAAAAACCAACCTGCCCCCAATTCCTGGTGTCAGGCTGAGTATGATCCTTTCCCACAGGATCTGTTGGGGTCACTTCATTGACACAGTAAATGTACCCCCTGTCCTCCTAATTTTTGGAGGTGGGGAGGATGGTTTTTGTTCAGAGGGACCTGTCCATTTTATCTCTTCACCAAGCATGGTGCTGACAGAGGAAGTTTAAAAACCCCATCCCATTGCTGGTGCATGTTGGGGTTTGCATGATTCAGTTTTCCTCTTGGAAAGAATGCTCTTCCTCTGCCAGCTCCTTGTTCCTGGCACTGAATCAAGTCCTCATTGGACAAGTGAAAGGCTATTTTGTAGAGGTGACCCAGAATTTGGGAATCCAGCTGTGATCTGTTGAGCAAGTGAACTGTTGTCCCTAGCAGTGAAGAGAGCTTTGATTTTCACAGCTGCTTCTTCTTGTGCTGGGTTTGGGGGTTTGGGTTTAGTTTGGTTTGTTATTTTTTTTTTCCATTTGCCTTTTTTTTTAGTTTAGATTATTTTGTGGTGGGTTTTTTTGTTTGTTTTTAAGTCTCAGCCTAACAATGTGTCAATAGGGAACTGGCCACTTCAGAAAATCCAGCCACAGCTTTTTATCTTTGAAAGAAACTGTCACAGTTCTGCCCACGTGGATCATGGAGCAAAATCACCCTCTGCTTGGGAGTCTCTGTTCAGATGAAAATAAATGTTGCAACAGAGTGAACAGAGAAGGTTTTGGGACAAGCTTGTTTGCTGAGGATGAGAGTGGCTCTTTTATGGCTCCTTAGGAGCCACTGTTTTTGTTTTATTTAGGCTGTGTGTTCTCTGTAAGGTTTGATGAATGAGTGTAAGCCTAAAGAAACCCCCCAAATTGTATTCCTAGCAGAGTGGTGTGAGTGTGACCTGTGGGGGGGTTTGTTGGTGGGAGGCAGAGGCAGAAGGGAACAGAAGGAAAAAGGGAATGCTGCTAAAGTCAGCCCATTCCTGTCTGGCACAAGAAGTCTCCTTCTCTGGAGAGATTCCAACCCCACCTGGATGTGACCCTGGGCACCCTGCTGGAGCAGGGGGGGTTGGATGAGATGATCTCCAGAGGTCCCTCCAACCCCCCACCATGCTGGGATTCTGTAAGGCCCTAAGAAGGTCTCTTGCATCTCACCAGTGGTTCACCAGTTTGGTACAGGAGAAGCCTTCAGGCTAAACCTGCTGGATTTGTGCTGGCTCTGTGCAGTGCTCAGCTCAGGGGGGGGTGTCATGTGGAAGAAGTCCAGATGGAAACTGGTCTGCAGGAACAGAGATGCTGCCTTGACTGAAATACCAACTGCTGCTCTGGTGGGTCTGTACTGAGGCTCTTCCTTTCTGAAATGCAAATTTGCCTTTAAAAGTGGCTGGGGGAAAGCTGTTCCCATCTGTGACACCCTGCAGGATATTTAGTTGTTCAGCTTAGTTCAGGCAATAAAGTATTTTTATCTTCCTTTTTTATTTTCTATTTTTAACTATAGCCTTTTAGAGCTGGGACAGCAGAGGTGGTGAGGTGGAGTCTTTGACTGTGGCAGAATGGGTGACTGACCTTCATCCCCCAGGTTTGGGCAGCTCATGGAAGGTGCTGTGGTTGGGCTGTGCTATCAGGGACTCTCTGGCAATGCAGATGATAGGACCATTTA